AAGTATGAAATATAATTAGCCAAACCACTCTATATCTATCCATCTAGGTACTTAATTTTCTCTTGGCTTAATTGAGTCTATATAAGGTAGGTAGAGCCGGATAATCTTCTTGCACTAGTATTTACGTGAGAATTTTACAAGAATGAGACCCAGTTCTGATGATGTCCATCATATGATGGACAAATGCTCAGCCCGCTTTCACCCGAAACGAGGAAAGAGGTCTCGTGGACTGCATAAACCTAAACGTCGTATAAAAGCCAAACGGCTGCAGTACAAGTGGATTCAGCCGTCCTTATCTGGTGAGATACACCTACGAATCTCTTTATCATACACTTTCATACGAAATAAAAATCTCCCCAACAAAATAAACTAGTTTAGTCAGCTTTTTTCTGGCAGCCCAACACCCTTCCTTTACATCACACACTTTTACTCATAAATGAAATGAATTCGACAATATAATATACCAAAGCTAAATTGCATCAAAGTTAATCCTTCAATAAATTCCAGATTTTTTGGCTTCCTGTTGAGCAATTCCAAGAATTAGGGAAGAATATATATGTTGAAAAATTAATGCTGTATTTAATAAGCCATAAAGTTGCATAGGCTTAGTTAATCCATTTAATCGAATATTTACATACGATAAGGCCTTAGCCTAGAAATACCAGCTGTAAGGCTCAATTTTAAAAGGTCTTGACTTAAAAAGATACTAAATATTTACTTTTGGGTCAAAATGTAAATTTTAAGTCGTGAAAAATGGATTTCAATTAAGTCTACCTGTAGTTGGCATCGTCAGCGTCTGACCACTAGCGACTGCTGCAGCTGCCGCTTGCAATGAATGATGCAGATTAACTGCATGCGAGAGTGGACTTATTCCTGCTGCTGCCGCCGCTGCTGCTGCTGCTGCCACCGCAGTATGTGATGAGCCTGTGACTGACATAGTTCCAGATGAAGACAATCCGTCTGCGGCTGAAACTGCTATGGAAGGGGAAGATACTGGAGATATCAAAGGCAAGTTTCCAGCTGAGGAAGCAGATGGCATAGTGCATTGCAAACTTGCTGGCATAAATCCAGCGGCCAAAGCTGCTGCTGCTGCCGCAGCAACAGGGCTGGTAAAGGCGAACGCAGTGTTAGAAGATGGAGGGACAGCCGCCTGTGCGACTTGAGCTGCTTGGGCGGCTTGAGCGGCTTGAGCGGCAGCTGCGGCTGCAGCCAACCGATTGTAAAGGCTTTGCTGGTGGACATGTGAATGCGACTGCTGTTGTTGCTGCTGTTGCTGCAAGTGAGGATGCAACTGTTGCTGTTGGTGGTGGTGATGAAGCTGAAGCTGATGTTGTGTCAGTTGCTGGTGTTGTTGCTGTTGCTGTTGTTGATGGTGCATGGCTGCTGCTGCCATTGCTGCCAAAGATTGTTGATGTAAAATAAGCTGCTGTGATTGCTGCACCTGCTGAACGTGGGCCTGTTGTCGCTCTTTATCTAATTTTAAATTGATGCAATGTCACAAAGGAAATAAAGTGATGAATCGCAATAAAATCGGAAAAATGAAAAAATAGACTTAAAATAATTTTGATAATGAGATAATCTGTATGTCAAAACAGGGATTTGAGCGATTCCATCGATGATTCAATTGACAAAATAACATATGGGAATTTTCACGAAAGATAGACTTTAATTTTAGCCTAGACTAGAGCTCATCAGCAATAGCAGGAAGTCTTTAACCATGCGTAAATGGGTTAAAGGTAAAAACGGTATCCCTTTAGTCACTTGGCTTTTGTTCGCTTGCTATACAAAAAACGTGACAATTTACATTTTAATGGTGGTAGAGGCTTTTGTATCCTCTGACAGCTATGAGTCAATAAGTGACCTAGCTATTTTGCTATAAGGTCTAAGCACTCCGTTAATTATTACTAGTCGGTAATAATCTATGGGGCTAAGTGCTATAATAATGATTCTTGCTACGATTAAGAAAATGGAAATTGTGGTTCTTCTAGTAAGACCACATAAATATATTCAGTCTGTTAATTATCTATTAACAAACGATTTTCATTGTAAAAATGAATTATAAGAAACTTAATTTGCAATCTAAGGCAATTGCAAATACTCTATGATAAATATTCTATTTTATCTCCAGTTATTGATATTCGTATACGATTTGACCAAATATGTAAGAAAGCAGTTCTATTTACAATTCTATTTAGAATTTCATTTTGGAGTGATACAAATAAATATTTGATTTTTATCCTTTGCGATATATCGTTACTTAACTAAGTGAAACGAGATAAACATTAAATATTTTTAAAGTAAATTGACGTAATTCTTATATTCGTTATATAATACAATACAGAAGTTGATAATATCTGTCCCTATCGACTAATCTGAATGTCTATTAAATTTGGTTTTAATAACCAAATCACTTACAGCAAGCACATTAGAAGCTGCTTTCTTGTATGTAAGCAAGGATTTCTTTCACTATATGCGAAGTAAGTATGGCCACCTCCTTGAGTGAATCAGAGATAGTGGTGGAATGAGCTATGGTAGGCAACTTACCCTGCGTGACAAATGCGATAGATAGCAGAGTAAAACCCTTTTAACTCCGACCGGTATGAGCTGGTATGTGTCTTGTGGATGTCATTGCATTGTATTAATGCTTTATTTACAAGTTTATTCAGGTACATAAAAATGATTTAAGTCAGCATTCTGAACTAGGATGCCATTTCAAATCATTGCAATTTAAAAAATGAAGTTTGGACCCTGTAACATTTTATTATCCCCAAATAATCAGCCTGATTACAATAACTCTGACAGTATCTAATATTGCAACTATAGGTGTGGAACCATTTACATGGGAAAAATAAGGGGCCTAAGGTATGTACAAGGGTAAATGTTATAATGTCCTATGTAAGATGAGAAATCAAGTTATATGTGTAATCGCTAAGCATTCCATGGATAAAAAGTAGCTAATTCAAATAAAGGATGCAATTAGAAAAGTCATAAGGCCCAGACATCAGCAGTTTTATTAAATAGAGGCTGCATGCCTGGCAATATCAGTAAAATATTCTCTTGCAAGCCACATTTGGGAAGTAAAAATTGTAAAATGCATAAGAAATCAGATGGCTGGTTGAAGCTGATCAACTCTGAAATACATAATGCATCACATTAATAAAAATAAATAGGCCTGCCTTGAATTGAAAGCCATGTATTCGCTGTAATCTTATGACACTAGTCTGAGAGGAACAATCGGTTCTGCTGAATCCAAAGACATAAGGCCAAAGTCGAATAGGTATAGAAAATTCTAAAAAACCAAATTCAACGGCAATGTGAAACATTATTTATTACCTAGTATGGCTACATAAGCTATTAGACCAAAGAAAAATCATGGATATTTTACTATAGAGCCTCTAAAGGCATGAGCAGATTTAATTAAGACGACGGATATAAAAACGAAGATTAAAGATCAGAATAGCATTATAAATATTACAAAAGGAAATAAAATCGATTTTAGTAGTTAAATTCATGCCAATGGTTCAATACAATATTAAAGTATGATAAGCTTTCGAGACTAACCCTGGCTGTTGGATAATAAATTATATACCCTATGCCGCTTAATGTGATAGATGATTTTTTTTATGATGAGATGAGTAGGCTTTAACTTAGCCTTCTCTCTCTAAAGCTCATTTTCTCCAGGATAGACGACAATCTTGACCTCGCCAAAGTTTTATCAACACACCCAAAAGGACTCGAACCAGACCGTGAGTATCGTGGTACATCCCCACTTAATTACAGGGCCTCGGGTGCTAGTGAGTCATAGGGAGGATAAAACATTTTAGGCCGATCTTGACTCGCATTTTATATTGTTGTTTTCTTAGGAGAGGCTTGGCTTGGCTTAAATGCCTCATCCGTCCAGTGGCTCATTAGCTCCTATGGCGATGTATTGGGGTGTAGTGATAACCTTTCATCAATAGTCACGATTTGGTATCACTTACTACTGGGGCTTCTGATGAGAGCTTAGTGAGCTAAAAATCATAGTCCACTCTGGATGAGATTAGATTGTGAGAAGAAATGTTAAGTTAAATTAAATGACATTGGAAGGCGTACTAATTTCGTTTTTGGAAAAGCTCAACTATTGGACATCAAATTGCCTTAAGCGTTCTAGGATGAATATATTCGTAATCAGAAGACTAAATTAGAATAAAGATGGAGAAGCATTTCTCTCAGACTGTAATAGTAATAAAAAAATCGGCATATTAAAAATTAAGTGAAAAAGTAATAAAGAGTAATAAAATATATAAGAATAGAGGCATCAGTTTATGAACCTTCTATCAATAGAAATAGTTAAGGCAGTTTTATACAAGATTAAGTCGCCTGGCATTATTGTTACTACATACTTTTTGAATCCTCTTAGTATTGGTTAATAGGTTTTGAAGGAAAAACATGCTTACTGTAAAATT